CCCCCACAGTCTCCCTACACCCCCACACTAACTTAAAATTTTTTGTGAGATTACTTCGTGATAGAGTCAAGAGAGGCCAATCGCCCACCTCCTTCATGAAAAAATTATAATTTTTTTTATATACCTGCTATTTTTATACTTGGCTACATCTTATCTCTACTGTTCAAGAACTCCAATTTGTATTACTTCAGTTTTATTAGTTTCCGTCTAAATAACAATAAATTTGATTATAACTAAAAACTTTTGAACAAAGGTAGTGTACAAGGTAAGAAGTCTCAATGGTATATTAAATTATATTACGTTTAAATCTTTTTATATAATATACTTATTTTGGTGGGTATGTCAAGACCCTCCCTGACACCCTTTTCTAAAAGCATCTTACTCTATTGTTTTTAGTACCTACCATGAAATAATGGAAAAAATACAATTTTTGTTTTGGTTTAATTCTTTTGTATATTTAAGAACACCCTTTTCCATTTCACCATTACTTACATTATTAAAGAGGTTACCTATCGTCAAAAGATCGTGTAAAAAAAAAGTAATTTTTTATTTTTTCAATCGATTTTAAATACTGAAAATACGGAGTTGGCGCACAGATCGTGCCAGGGGTACAAAGGGTCAAAGGACAGTGTGGCAGATGAGCTGACATGTTAGGATTCTCTTAAGAAACTTTAAATCTATGTATATTACTTACACAACTTATACATATCAAAGTATGTCACTCAAACTTATGAAGCTCACAGACATGAGATTCCGAGCCAGTAATTGGCTGGTTAGGATTGTGTGCATGTTGGTTCTGAAAATGGCAGAGCCAATCAGAAGAAGCTCCCAAATCTACCCACTGTCCCTTGACCCTTTGTAGCGGGGGACTGGAGCCCCACTAGTGTATGTGTATATCCATAAGATAATTTGTAGTTATTACCAGCTAGCGTCCTACTGTCCCCATTCTAGTTTCCTTTTCAGAGAGTTTGGCATTTCCAAGCCAGACTCCTGGGGCAGACATCGTGAAAGAGAGGAGTCCAGTGAGTAGGGATGAGAAAGGTAAAGTACGGAAGTTTTGTGGCAAGAGACAGCTATTTTCTAGCCAAAACATCTTCGTAACAATAGTAATATGTATTATAAAAAACGTTATAAGTATTTTTTCTACAAAAATTTTACTGAACAACTTTTTAACTAAGTTTTTAATCGAATTATTACAGAAACACTTATATTTTCTGAATTTATTTTGTCACTTAATTTTTACTAATACGTTCCTACTGAAAAAAATTTTTTCTTAAGCCAATGATCCTTCCCTATTGACGCGACATTTATATAGTGTAGAGGGGTCGGGAGAAATAATTCTCTGCTCCCTACTTGTCCTTGCATGCGAGAGAGATAGAGGAAGGGAGCAGCAGTGCTCCCTACTTGTCCTTGCATGCGAGAGAGATAGAGGAAGGGAGCAGCAGTGCTCCCTACTTCTCCTTGTTTGAGAGAGAGAGAGAGAGAGAGAGAGGGAGAGATAAAGAGAGTGAGCAGCAGTGCAAAAGTGAATAAGTATTAAGGTGGTTCTTTACCTAACCCATTTCCTTAAACTTACAGGGAAACTTGGAGGGATTGTCATTAAAGTTATAAGGCATCTTCTCTTAAAATTTCAAGTCCCTTTATCAGGCAAATTTTTGAAAACAAGTCAGTCAAAAAATGCACTTTTAACATGTAATCTTACGTACATTACTTTTCCATACTACGATATCATGTAATATCTCGTAAAGTAGACTTAAGACCTTAATAGAAAAAATTTGTAGTGAAAGAAGAACTTTTCAGCTTTCTAATAATATAACAAAAGTATGGGCTAATCAGGGAAATAGTATACGATATTTAATCGTAAACGTAATCAGTTATCGATCATGCAGAAATCGGCGGCAACGTCTGCTTGAGTAGGAGCGTACATGCCGTTTTCAGAACCTTGCGTCAAAAAAAAATTTTTTCATAACTCTTACTCTGACTTTATTAGCATGTTTATTTGTATATAAATGCAATGATATTATAGTCAAGTGTCAGTACAACATATTTTATGTTGCAAATAATACGCTAATCGAAAATTAGAAAACCACAGGGTCCCGTGTCGCTTTGATACGGCACCATCGTGAAGAACCACCTTAAGTACTTACCTACGCTGCGTTTGATTTATTTTTTTTGAGCTATAAGAAAACTTCAACATCACGCGCCCAACTCGGGTATGACTATAAATTTATCGTGTAATGCATGTAACCTCTTTTGGTGATATGTAACGTAGTAAATCTCTAACTTCAATCTCAATATAGAAATAATGTTTAAATGATTATTAGAAAATCTTATAAAATTTGGAGCAACTAATGCCCAGGAGTCTAATAAATAGTTATATTAGCGTATAAACGTTTGAATGCTATTGATATGCAAAAATATTTATCAAATAATAAAATATATAATATGTCATTTAATATCTCATAAAATTAAAAGGATTTTTAATAAAATTAGGATGTTCTGACCAACTTCTTTTTCCGAGGCTTTTCAGGCCTGTTAACATCCGCTAACGAACAACCTTCCCTTTGGTCGGGTCGTAAACGTTAGTGGATGATAGATAATGAACAACGAATTTTCGGCCAAAGCAGTAATAAAAATAGTATACATTACACGGAACGTCACTCGATAGTCCGCTCCGATAGTTTGCCCCCCGAGGTGAAGCCGAGGGAGGTAAGTTCACCACCAGGGGCATATGATCAAACTTCATCTCTTGTAATGTTATGTACTATTACCAGGACAATATTATCAAGAATTTGATAAGCACATATTTTGCTGGTATTGATAGTTCGACTAAGCGTACCCAAAATAAACTTTATTTGCAGCATACATAATTAAACTTGTATAAAAAAAGGTTATAATTGTGATTACCTGTTGTTTGTATCTGCAATTTGAAAGAGAAGATAGTAAATGTTGTAACTGAATTTGTAGTATGCTTAATAGTACGTTTTGTACCGTTATAATGATTTCAGGAACGTATATATTAAGACAATCTTCCACTATTCCTATATAAAGTTTTGAAAATGCCAATGTGTTACTAGTTAAAGGTATTGAATACTTATTAATATCCAAAATTTTCAACATAGGTATTCCAAGAATTTCTAGCTCTGATTTTAATTTATAAAAATTTTGAGGGGATTCAAAATTACTTGGTCGCCAATTATCTTCTAGAGAACGAATTTTGACCGAATCCATGTATTTTTCTTTTGTTTCTGACAAAGTTTTGGCTAATGTTGATCTTAATTGAATATCAAACTGGTATCGAATGTCAATCCCAAGGTGTATCATCTGTTGAGAATAGTAAAAATCGCTATCAACTAAATTTTTACATATAATTTATTTTTTTTATGTAACATGCTGCGTATATTACCTGCTCACAATGACTACGTATTGTTGTTAAACATTCACCCAGAGCATTCAGTGAAACGTGAGGTAAAAACATTTGTTTAGATAAATGTGTTGTCAGTATCTTTAGTTCATGACTGCACCATATTACTAGAGCTAAAAAGAAAAGATATATAAGTTCTTCAAAAATATGATTAACACAGAAATAAGAATCGTACCTATTGTCAACATTATGTTATTGTAAGACATTTCTTTTTTAAAAAGTATATAATTAGAACATTTAATTTAATCAACACAAATATTAAAATTTAAATACGTACGTACAAAGTGTAAGAAATTTTAAATTCATTATATGCAAAATGTAACATACAGCTTAAGAGAGAATAAACCAATAATTTTTTTCATTATTGTTATTAAAATAAAAAAGTTTCATTATTTATTGTTTAAAGGGTTTTACGTTGTAAAAATTAACAAATAGTAAAATAAGAAATAATGATGTAAAGTAAGAAGAGGTGATTGTATGTCATCATAATTATTTAGAGCTAAAAATTGGTTTATGTAATTGCTTGAAGCCATTACATGGTATCAAGAATTAAAAAAAGTTTAGGACATAATAAGTATTAGAAGAATGTCTTTTTTTGCAGGAAATGATCCGAATAATTATTTCACTTCCTCAAAGAAAAAACTCTACAATCAACTGAAAGTTACCCATCAACATCTGGCATGCAAAATGATAAAATAGTTCATCGATTTATTAATGCTTAATGAACAACCAATCGTTCATTACTGTTGAAATAATTACTAATTAGAATTTACATTGTTTATTACCGTTATGCTAATCAAAGATCAAACACTTTGTTTGTCAATTACCTTTATGGTAATTACGGGCTTAAATTTGAATCAGTCATTACTATTGTCATAAATAACACAGTACTACTGTAATTGATGATTATTAATGTGATAATTACCTACGTAAACTTTTCCAATGCAATATTATCTATCACCTATGATTCTAAAAAACATGTAACTCACATAGTACTTTAAATGGAAACTGTAAATATGATGTACACAATTACGTTTTAAAACATGATTAGAATCTTACCTTAAACTTTTTATGGAAGTTATAAAAGACAACTCTAATTATAACATTAATTTATGAAATAGCTTTTTTAGTCAAGGATAAAGCGTCGTTTAGGCATGTAATGTACGAAGTCTTGGGAAGTAGTTGTACTAAAAAAGTCACGCAATGAAGTGATAAGAATATGAAACAGACATAAAGTACATTAAAGTCAGAAATTATGAAAATTATCAAAAGACTTTAGAAAAAATAATTTTTACTGTCAAAAAAAGACTGAAACTTCAGTTCTTGTGCAAGAAAAATTTCAATGCAAGAAAAATTGGACTGCCACACTCAATAACTATTAAATAAAATTGCTTCATTTTTAAAATTCTGAGTTTAAAATTTTAGTTCGTAATCACGACTTATTATCAAGCGGAATTTGATATTGGAGTACTCAATTACCTAATGCTAGTATGCTCATTAAAAATTAAGGTGTTAAGTGTTAAGTATTGGTCGTTTAATTTCTACTGGGTAATTCTTGGTTTAAAAAACGCAGTGTAAATGTGTTTCTTAAGCCTTAGAATAGAAGGGAACAACTTGAGAAACAGTGACAGTTACTTTCTCTCTCTCACTCTGGTGTGTGTGTGTATGTTTGTAAGTGTGTCGGTGTGTGCTTGAATTTATTGCAATTGATTCAATCGATCAGATTTCTATATTTCTTTTACCAGTTATGACGAAACGGTGATATAAATGGATCATTATGTTTGCTTTCGAGTTTTCATCACTAATATATGAGAATACTTCAGTTTTCTGCTTTTTTTCAAATCTCAAGTTTTTATTTTCAGTGTACTCTTTAACTCATTATAAAAGGCTTGGAATAGATTTCAAGTGGACTGCATTTAACAATCAAATATATCTGATTCAAAGAAGAAGATCAATAAAGTTAAGAAAAAGCACAAAAAAAAAAATTGAATTTATACTTTTGAAAAATGCACCTGTTGGCTAACCACTTTTTTTTTGGCATTTTTTGCAAAGACGTTTTAGCGATTTTTACAACGGTTCGCAAAAAGTTAAAAACCGGTTCGGTCAAGCTGAAATTTGATTTGTGTATGTTAAAGACTATATCCACCTTGTAATCAAATTTCAGCTCTAAATACTGCATAGAACGCGAGTTATTGAGTTGTGAAAAAATGGCAGTTTTTTGCGATTTCCAAAAAAAAAACGGCTTAACCAATTTGAACCCAACGCAGCTAATTTTTTTCGTCTTAAGATCTTCCTTATCTGCGATTCTTCGGTTTTCTTTTAGACGCGAAAAGTATGTTTTGGACATTTTTGCCATTTTTTGGAGGCTCTTGCTGACATTTCTACTTATTAAATTCTATATCGATTTGTTACCATGCATTAAAACTACTACCCTGTTCTTTTTCGAGATAGCTAGAATTTTCTGGGCTAAAAAACTAATTCTACCATACTACAAGTGCAATCAATGCCTCGTTTCATATCAGAAACCCTAGCCACGAAACAGTGTAACCATTCACTTTCGAGCATCTCTTGTGCACCTACCACCAAGGTGCCATTATAACTACTCCGAATCAAGCCAGTGACGAGAACACCTTTACTTCAAAGTCGCACATATTATCTCATTGTATCACCAAACGTTCAAGTTCCCTGCAACCGATATCTCGATCCTTTTTTTAAACTAACTCACACTTTTTCCAATTGCACATACAGATATACACAAAAATACGCTCATGTAGGTATTTCAGATTAACTCACAAGGGAAGTTTCCAATTGTCGGACATCGATTTTGATGAAATTTTGACATGTGGTAAAGTATGGAAAAATATTAGACACGTCTTTTTTTTCTCGGCCCATACGCAGTTCTAAGAGGCAAAAATAACCCCTTAAGTTGAGCCCCACAAACGGTTTTTTTACACTCTTTTTTTTCTAAATATCTCGGCTTCAAATCTATGTTTTATCATAAGATAATCAAGATAAAAAAAGCAGATCCAATATAACAGACAAAAAGTCGAAAAATTTTATTTTAATAACAAACTGTGTAGTAGGGTTTTTCAGCTTGCTGACCACAAATCTTTCATCTATTTAAAAAAATTCGAGATATCTTATGCTTTTAACTATTTAGCTCTAAGCCCCAGATAGTTCCAAAGGCCTGTGTTCCTCAACTGATAAGTCCTAAACCCCTTAACACTAGGCAGCCCGAAGGCCTGCGTATTTGAACAAAAAAATCACAAACTCCTGAACCCCAATCACGCCGGAAAACGTCGGAGAACCATGCATGTGTGCCGCATAATCCTAAACTCCTAAGCCCCAAAAGGCCGAAGGCTTGGATTCCTCAAATCAATAAATCTACAGCCCCTGAACCCTAGACCGGCTGAAAAACTATGTTTTTTAACTCTTTAACCTCAAGCTCTTAAGTGCCAAACAAGCCAACAGGCTTGTCTTTCTAAACTAATAATTTCCAAGCTCCTCAACCCCAGACAGGACTGTTTTTTTAACCGATAAATAACAAGCTCTTGGATGTTAAACATGCTAGGGACCCTTATTTTTCAATTGATAATTTCTAAATTTTAAACAAATTTTAAATTTTATATTACAGTAATGTTAATCATGAATGAAATGGGTTAAGCACAACACTTGTTTGTAAAAGTTTGCAAGAGTGCTGAATAACATTTAAAAAGTTTTCAAATTGTTTAATTTTCCATAAGCAATCAAATGTAATTAATAATGAAATGTTTTAATACCTAAAAGATTAAAATTCATTGTAAATTACATTTGTAACCCATTGAAAATTAAAATTTATTGTCAATGACATTAGTGTTCCATTAAAAGGGAATATTCTTTTGTATATTTAAGAACACCCTTTTCCATTTCACCATTACTTACATTATTAAAGAGGTTACCTATCGTCAAAAGATCGTGTAAAAAAAAAGTAATTTTTTATTTTTTCAATCGATTTTAAATACTGAAAATACGGAGTTGGCGCACAGATCGTGCCAGGGGTACAAAGGGTCAAAATTAAAAAAAAATATTAAACTCACGTGTGCGCAGTAAGTGTTTGTATACATGTTAATTATATATACATACATATGCATGTATACATACACACACGCACACACAAACATGTATATATATAGGTGTATGTGCCTTTGTATGTACATAAACATTGTATATATATATATATATGTAAATGTATATTTATGTATATGTTTGTGTGTGTTTGTATATAAGCATACATTTACACATTCATGTATATAAATTTTATTATGATTACGAACAGTAATGTTGATTAATTTTTACTACGTATTAAGTATCAATTGATGATCGTAATACTTATATCTGTAATAAAGATCATGAAGTCTTATATTTTACTAATATATAAAGCAAAGTCGCTAAAACCACTGTCATCGCTAACCGCGCTAACCCCGAAAACTACTGAACCGATTTTGCTCAAATTTTGCATACTGTTTCTTGATGATTACCAGATGGTTTTCGCATAGTTTTTTTTAAGAAAAATTACTAAGAATAGCGATAAATAAGCTCAAAAGTTTGCTAAAATAAGCTAGCTTTGCGCTTCAGTTCAGTAGGATCCGCTAGCTAGCGTCGAGGTAAAATTGAAGCCACCCGCAATGAAAGATAGTGAAGAGTGGTTATAAGATGTCCCATCGAGTTTATGGTTATCGTAGTCGATCATCGGCACTACACCAGCTACAGAGTAGTACGTCATGCAGCTAGGCATTTTAGCTAGCGATGACACTCTTGTTTCATGGGCAAGTAAAATGAATCGAGTTTAACCCCGAATCGATAAAATAACCGAGTGCCACGAAAAAATAGGCGTTCGGAACGTCAACGTCTCCGGTAAAATACCAGGAGACGTGTCTAGCCAGAGCTTAATCTGCTCCAGCACTTCAGAGCTTTGTGGCTGTTCATCCATCCGACCTCGTGTCGTCAGAAAATTTTCTACGTCAAATGCGAGCCAGGGAAGACATCTCTTAAGAGTACGGGCAGCCACAACAGCCTCCGTCTTAGTGGTTGTCTCAACGGCATACCTACAAAAAAGGTATTCTCTAGGCCAACT